TAGAGTAGTTTAGGATTCTGTGACGGTTGCCTTTAGTTTAGCTGTGTTTTTGTATAGATTATTTGCGTTAGTTGTACCACTTTTAAAGTGAGGTTTTGTTTCGTTCTTTATTTAGTATATTAGTATTTATTTTCCCTGTATGTCTTTAGACTCACCTTTTAGAGTCCTCCTTTTGTTGGGTATTTATCTACCTGTGCCCTTTTGGCCTTCTTTGTTTGTTTCAGGCTGTTTGCCTGCCATTTTGTTCACCTGTTGTGCATTAAAACCACTTATAATTATACCAATACCAATCTGGTTGTGTTGCTTCCCTTTGATTCCCCTAGCTCAGAAGGGAACGTAATACATGGGGGCTCGTCCGGGATAAATAACTACTTTCCTGGGGTTATAAGTGGTTTGTATAGCTAAAAACTATTTGGTAAGGTTGTGTGCAGTTTTAGCTAAGTATGGCATCTTTTGATTTGGAGTCGTTTTTGGTCTGTCCTTCTCATGAGCAGTTAGTTCAGTGTCGTAGAGACGACTTATATGAGATAGCGCAACATTTCGGTCTCCCAGTGGCAAAACAATTGTTAAAAAAAGAGTTAAAGGCTCTGGTGGTGGATGAGTTGGTGGAAAGGGGTTTTCTGGAGCTGCCTGCACAAGCTGAGCTCACTGTGCCAAATGTCCGTGCTAAAGGAGAGGGTAGTGACAGCGAGGGGAGCGAGCAGTGTAAAGCACCGTCTGCGCCGCCTCGCTATAGTCCACCGTCTCCTGGTAGTCCTGATCCCCGGGAAGGGAATAAACTTAAAGTTCGCCTCGCCCGACTTCAGTTGGAAGCTAAAGACAGGCAACTTCAGTTGAGAAGCTAAAGACAGGGAGCAAGACAGGCACTTTTAGTTGGAGGTAAAGAAAATCGAAGCCGATAAGAAAATTAAAAAAATCGAAGCAGATAAGGAAGTCCGGGTACGGCAGATGGAGCTAGACTCCCAACTGCGCGCATCCGGTGCTTTTGACTCTGCCGGAAGAAACTTGCCATCTCCACCTCCTCCACCTGCCTTTGACGTGAGTAACCATATTTCGCTAGTGCCAACATTCTGTGAGACTGAGGTGGATGCCTATTTTGGTGCCTTCGAGCGCATTGCTACAGCGTTGCGGTGGCCGGTTGAAGTTTGGGCTCTGATGGTAACGTGCAAATTACATGGAAAAGCTCGGGAAGCAGTTGCGGCTCTCACGTTAGAGGACAGCCTGCAGTATGACTCAGTAAAGGTTGCCATCCTCAGAGTGTATGAGTTAGTTCCTGAAGCTTACCGGCAAAAGTTTAGACACTATAGGAAGAGTCCTGATCAAACGCACGTAGAGTTCGCTAGGAAAAAGGGAATGTGTTTTGCTAAGTGGATTGCTTCATGTAATGCTACCGATTATTCTTCTCTGAGAGGAATTGATCATGTTGGAGGAGTTTAAAAAGTTTGCCTGATCACATTGTTGTTTACTTAAATGAGCAAAAGTAATACTCTCTGCTGCTGCTGTGTAGCCGATGAGTATGTGCTAACGCATAAATTGTGTTTTCCCCTGTCTTTACGGAGAGATCCCGCGTGTGTCAGCCGCACCATTTACTGAAACCGTGAATGTGTGTAACGTGAACCAGAGAGGAGAGAGAAGTGTTTTTACTGTCACAAACCTGGACATGTCATCGCCAATTGGCGAGCTCTGAAGCGTAAGAACAGCGGCAAGGTATGTCCCGCCAAACGGTATTGGCCTGATCAACATAACACGTGCACAGGCGAGTAAAAGTGTTTCGGATGTCATTGTCTGATCCTGTGATTGTGCCGGTGTCTTCAGATAAAGCTGTGTCCGAGGAGAAGCCAGAAATTGTGGCTCCCCTCGTGAGGATGTCGTGAGACCAGCGCGACACGCCGGCTCAGACAAGCCTCTAGACTTTCCGACACTCTCGGTAAAGCCCGAGAGCGTCCAGTCGTGTATCGGATCTTTAGTAGTGTTGGCTCTACAACATATTTAAGATTGATGTTGGACCCAGGCCTTTGGCCAATTGTGATGTGTAAATGTTACGATCCATTCATATTCTGCCCCAGCGTGTCCAAGCACAACCAGCGTCTCCTGCAATGGGCCTCTGATTGTGCGGGAACTACAACAGTAGACACCCGTCATTAAGGGTTCAGAGAATGTGTTGGCCGATGCTTTGTCCAGGTTGAGTTTGAGATGTTAGTGTGTCAGGTTGAGTTTGTGATGTTAGTGTGTGTTATTAGTTAGTTGTTTGTGATTGGTTAGAATGTGGAGTCTGTGATTAATGGTGGTGTGTGGATGTTATGAGTGAAATTAGTTATTGTCTTTGGTTCTGTGTTAACCTGTGGGTTTGTGTCTTAAGGGGGGAGGTGTTACGGCTGCTGCCTTCCTGGTCGTCTGAGTGTTTTCAGCTGTGTGTGTTCTATGTAAATGAGGCTGTGCGGTTGCCCTCCCGCATGGGCTGCCATCTCCTGGTCCCCCCTGAAGATTGCGATTGGAGCACACCGGGGCCGACGCACTCCAATCGCAGCGCACAGCCGGCGCACACCTGCTGGAGATGACTACAAAGCTTGGGTACAATCATCATTCTGGAGGCTCTGTATTGAACAGATGCCTCTCGCTACTTGCTCTTTGTTTCTGTGGTTAAACTTGTGTGATAGTAGTGTCTAGAGTAGCTTAGTTAGAGTGTAGAGTAGCTTTAGTTAGTGTTAGAGTAGCTTAGGATTCTGTGACGGTTGCCTGTAGTTTAGTTGTGTTTTTGTATAGATTCCCTTTGTGTTAGTTGTACCACTGTTTAAAGTGAGGTTTTGTTTCGTTCTTTATTTAGTATTACTTAGTAATTATATTTTCACTGTATGTCTGTACGCGACACCTTTCTAGAGTCCCTCCTTTAGTTTGGTTGCATTTAACTTGCGCCATTGTGGCCTTATGTTTGTTTATTATACCCTGTTTGGCTCTTTTGTTTGTTCAAGCTGCATGTCCTGCCATTTTGTTACACGCTGTTGTGCAATAAAACCAACTTATAATAATACCCAATACCATACTGGTTGTGTGCTTCCCTTGATTCCCCTAGCTCAGAAGGGAACGTAACTACCTATGTAGAGTCATGACGATGCGCATGCGCTGAAAGAGTCCGTTGTTACGGTTCTTCAACAACAGTCTGAAGAAACGCCGCAGCCTCAGCCTGTGTACACATAACTGAAGTTGGCCGCATAACCCACAGGCTCTATGCCTGATCTTTTATCTCACAGCCAGAATCAACAGTAGGCTTACTTGAGTGACATGATGGAATGAAAGGTTCCAATTACTGATCGAAACAACAATAGAACATATGGATGGGTTGAGATGCAAAGGGGCTAAAAATACTATAGAATATTGCGCTCGCAAAAATATACACCTTGTGCTTTTACGTTTCAGGTATAAGAATGTTATCAGGCAGGCTATAGTTCAGCCGCTGACTCTAACAGCCTTCATACATGACTGATTCATAGTGATTTAATAGCTACCATACAACCAGCACATCGTAAAAAGTGATCGTGATTACTGTAGATGAGAGAAAATCATGTCCTATATGTAGCATCTACTGATGTAATCAATATTGATCAATATTGATGCCAATAGGCCTTTCAGGGTCATGCTATTATGATTGCCAAATAAATTAAACTAAATAGGGACTCCCCGAAAGCCAAATGGGTAATTCGACACTGGCTATGCTTTAAGGGGAAACTTCTGTAGCAATGCAGTGGGGAGTCACCGACTCAGGAAGGAGACGCACGGCGTTGGCAGGGCTCTTGATGTCAAACACACTGATGTTTTATTTAGGAGCCGGAGTCAGTAATATTCATCCGCGTTTCGTCATGTTAGTATGCATAAAAGAAGTGTGTGTTGTGTGCGTGTGCGTGCGGCGTGCCGGTGCGGTGCGGTACGGGTGCGCGCGCGCCGGGGCGCGCGGCGGGGGTGGCGCGGGGCCCGCGGCTGCCCGCTCCGACGTCCCCGCGCGGCCGCGGGGGCCTGGTCTGCGGGCCCTGTGCCAGCTGCTAGTACAACTCGCTGAAGCATCTGAATTCCACTGCTCTGATCGATGTTGCCAGCATGACCGTCATCCCACTGAAGGCTCCCTGAAGTAAAAGAACACATAGTACTTGATTTTACCACTCGAGTAGTGTAGAATGAGTACAGTATTTATGTCGGTCAGGACTGTTTTTAGCTTTCTGTCGTGCGACGTACCTCCTGCCTGAGGCCCCTTGCAGGGTTTCTCTCCACCGCGCATGGCAGCAAAACGCTGCCCTCCTCTTGCTGCGAGGGTAGATGTGCAGGGCAGCGCATCCAGGATGGAGCTGCTGGATTCAAAAAACACTCCACATCAGTATCAATCCTGACATCTCCTTATAATCACTATAGATATATAGTGGAATCACCCTCTGTCTGGATCAGGTCTACTGTTCATCTACGGGATTACCATAACCGGATGACCACAGAGGATCAAGACAGGTGGTGAATGAAATGTAGTGTTTCGCTGTTTGGATTGTCTATAATTTATCTAGGATTTTCTTCTTTTTAGCATCTCTATTGCTTATGTACTAGGATCCT